TGCAGTAACCACAAATATACCATGGTAATAATAATAATAATACATTTTAGTACTTATGTAACACCATGCTTATTTTTCATCCTCAAACCTCAAAGGTGCACCTTTGTAACTTATCTACCCTTAAAGTGTGCATACTTGTATGGTTTAAGTAAAGGGCAAAGGGCTAAAATACAATTATAGTATATTTTATTTCTGACAATGTAAACAAAAAAAGGCCTATGAAATGTTAAAAAACATAGTGAGTATAATTACTGATTATATTCTTTTAATAATTTAAAAGATCAGTTTAGTTTAGAGGTATCGGTATCGATATCGACGATACTGGGCTTGAAAATATCGGTATCGGATCGAAAATAAAATAAGAGGTATCGCCCATCCCTAGTCAAAGCTTCGAGTGTCTCGAAAACAGCGCCATCTGGTGGTTAATAAATATAGCCGCCAAAAGCCTGTGATAAGACGCTCCGTAGGACGAGGCATCTACCACGTATTCCACAGATCGATTCAAGTTACGTGCACAAATAAAAGCCTAACAGTGTTTGTGTTTGTTGAATTTCTGTCTCTGATAAATTAATTTACCCATTAAACTGTGCAATTTAATACCAGTACGAATATCAATATGATGTAATAGAAGAATAATGTACACATATGAATTGCATATGACAAATATTGAATTTTTCTGAAATAATTTGTATTCTTCATATTACTTGTATGACTGGGTATCTAAAATGTAACTGAATAAGTCGAATTAAAACTTATTCATAAAGTAAGATATGGGGGATCGAACATTTTGACATGCACAGTGAATCGCGCACGTGATTGGACAGAAAGTGAAGCTTAGTTTGTCATTGGTCACATGATTTCTATGACAATTAACAACACAACACAAGCTTTGAATCGAGGCTTCATCTGGCATGCCCATTTATTCTCGACACAAGCTCCGATGCCTCGGTTCTAATGTCACATCACTAGTAGGGGGTAATACCACTAACTTAAGAAACCAGGTCAGGTACAGTTCATATATCTAACTGCTTGTATTTATTGAAAAAATGTTATAAATGTGAAGTAAAATTTAAAATTGAGGATGCAGTGCATTGTCAATGCATTGTGATATTGAATTGAACCGAATCGATGACATGATAATCGTAACCGAACCGTGAGACCAGTGTAGGTTCACACCCCTACTTGCTACGTGTACTGCGTTAAGCTAACTAACTGCGTCAAGCTAACCAAGACTTGTTATAGCACTTGCATGCTCTTTTGTTGATTTTGATTGCTTCCATTGTCCTCATTTGTAAGTCGCTTTGGATAAAAGCATCTGCTAAATGACTAAATGTAAATGTAAATTGTGCTATTGCTTGTAATTTGTTAATTTGTTCTTATTTACTGATTGATAAATTGCCTTTAATAATGTTTGAAATTTATATTTGTTAGGCAAGACGTTTTTGCTGTGGCAACGAAATGTGACCCTGGAGCACAAAACCAGTCACAGGTATATTTGTAGCAATAGCCAACAATACATTGTGTGGGTCAAAATTATCGATTTTCCATTTATGCCAAAAATCATTAGGATATTAAGTAAATATCATGTTCCATGCAGATATTTTGTAAATTTCCTACCGTAAATATATCAAAACTTAATTTTTGATTAGTAATATGCATTGCTAAGGACTTAATTTGGACAACTTTAAAGGCGATTTTCTCAGTATTTAGATTTTTTTGCACCCTCAGATTCCAGATTTTCAAATAGTTGTATCTCGGCCAAATATAGTCCTATCCTAACAAACCATACATCAATGCTTATTTATTCAGTTTTCAGATGATGTATAAATCTCAATTTAAAAAAAATTGACCCTTATGACTGGTTTTGTAGTCCAGGGTAACAAATGAGAATTGTAAAATGTATTTATTTTGGTGTCATAGTTTATTTATTAGTATAAAAGATAACATGGGTCAAAAATAATGATAACGGCATCTATTTTATTTTCTTGTGGGAGGGCCAGTGAAAATATTTGTAGGGCAAGTAGTAGAAAAAAATAGCCTTAGCGTTTATCCCTGTATTAACTTTAGTTTGTCAAAATAGCACACCCTTTCCTGCTTACTAAGTCCTTCTCTAAATTATTTCGCAGCTTCCACACATTTTTTCTTTGGTTTAGACATCATAAATTAGTAGAACATCAGTAGTATAATATCTGTGCAATCCATGCTGTTGTTTACATCCGAGTATCTCCAATATGGCCATGCATCCAGGTAACTGACCAAACCATGACGTTTGGAGAGAGTATTTTAATAATACAAGAAATACCAGAAATAATACCAAATAAAGTTAAATATTATAATGTATAAACATTATAAACATAGCTATACGCGAGTTCCCCTCACTTTAAAAAAATAATTTAAATGTAATGGTATTCAGAACAATGAACAGAACAGAACAACAGAACAGAATGAAAAAAAAAATAAAGCTAAAGAAACCAAAACAAAGCGAAACTGAAAGTACCAGGCATTGGACTCACGTACCTCTCTCATTCGGCACAAAATATTTCCAATATTCACAATGTATTTGAATGATAGACAATTATTTATAATGTAGGCTAAGCTTTGTACTTTACACGCGTTCGACGAAAAAAAAAAAATGTGCTTGGCATAACAGCAGAGTGGACCAGTTATAAACGGACTATTTAAATTGACCAGAACTTTTATATGTTTGGTTGTCTGTATTTTGTTTTGATAATGAACAGACTGCGATGCCAAATTTGAATTTCTGTCTGCCTGTGCGCGTGAGGCGCTTGCGCTATCAAACTGCTGAATGCATCATTTTTGGTCATACAGATAAGTAAGACATAATTCAAAACTATGAGAGGCCGTTCAAGACACATTTAAAATTTTACTCTCGCACACACTATCGAACTCTCTCTCATACACTACTTTAACGTCTCTCACACACTATCAAAGCTTTCATGCACATTATCAAAGTTTTGATAGTGTGTGTGCGAGAGTAAAGTTTGAAATATACGAAAACTCAGTGTTTACTTTTATTTTTGCAAACTCACAATAAAAACAGAACATTTGTGCTTTTGTAAAATAAAGCAAACAAACAGGATGTGCGTTCTGTCATCTTGGTTCTCTGTTTCCTTTCCATGAACTTGTTTGCAGAGTGCCGCACCTCACATCTGTTTTAAACCTGTTAATTATTTAAGTCAGATATATTTCGCATATTTATACCTTTCATATATAGACGATTGTGTTTTATTTTTAAGAATATAAATTTTCTTATTTTTAATGTAACTTACGTATTCCTGGTAGAGTAGACTACAATGCCGGCTGTTCTGACTCACGGACTGTAAATATACCGTTTTTTATATTTAAAGAGTTTTTATATTTTATATTTTTTATATTTAAAGCGAGTTTTTTGGGCAGCGTAGAGTAGGGCTTGTTGTTTGTCATTTCTCCGATCACAAATGCAGACATGATTTTATGTTTACGCGGCGCGATGCAACGCGTAAAAAGACAGTATAAGTCATTATAATCCATAATTATGTCCCCACTGGATGCAACGAATGCCTTGTTTATAATGGGTTTTCATGTTTTTGAATCATTTGCCTTCAAACAGGGCATCATCACAATATGGTAAGGGGCGTAACATTTCCGTCACACGCTTGAGGTATTCGGCCAATCATAACGCACTGGATAGCTGGCCAATCACAGCACACCTTGCTTTTCAGACCGATGAGCTTTGTAAAAATCGACGCGTTTCAGAAAGGCGGGGCATAGAGGAGAAACAATAATGTACAGTATGTGGAAAATAATGTTTTTTGAACCTTAAACCGCATAAAAACATTTCATTACACCAAATACACCAAATTATTTTCTTTTTAGCAACATCATATGACCCCTTTAAGTAATCCTGGCAACCCATTTTTGACCCAGGGTTTGAAAACATGTGCCCAAGTCTGTAGTTAGGTCCATGCAGAAACTTGTGAACAATGCTTTTATTGTTGTGGCATCACCGTTTAGTGACATCATTGAATGATCCGGGAAAACTGAAGTTGTCAGTGTCAGATACATCGCCTTTTAACTGCTGTTTTGGATCTGGCAGTTATACATTTACAAATTAAGCACTGCCTACACTCATAGAAAACAATGTGTTTGAATTTTAAAAATGAGGTGCATTGTAGGCAAAGCACTGCGCTTCTCGTTCAGTGTGTGACCACCTTAAGGCTGGATTAGGAATAGCCAAAGATGACTTTTAGAAGAAGACACCATAAGCTAGGCTGGTAGTTTGTTTTTTCCCCTGACGAGGGTAGGGGGAGAGGGCCTAGGTTCAAGAGTCACGGTTTCCCTACTGACGTACATCTCCCTGTTCTTTGAAGAGATACTATCACTTTGTATGGTCAGCTCGTGTATTCAAAGTCAAAATCAAATGTAAGAACCAGTCAATAACATTTAAAAATTTGTATGGATTAATGTTACACTACCCTTATTGTCTTTTTGCAGCTTGAAACTGTTACACCCCGTTGACTTTATAATTGTTTCAACTGTTTTTGTCCAGACATTAAAACATCTAGTTTTGTGTTCAAAAATTACATGTGTCGGGTGTTATCAAATGCTGACAGACTTTTCTTTTTTGGTGGGAACCATTGGTCTACCTTAAATGAATTATAACAGTTATTTATATTATATATTTCAGATGGTGATTATTCATGATTTGCATTTCCACAATGTCTTGTGTTTAGGTGTGTCATTGGCAGGAAAAAGGGCTGTGGTAATTGGCCGCAGTAAGATTGTTGGTGCACCAATGCATGACCTTCTGCTTTGGAATCATGCAACTGTACTGACCTGTCATTCAAAGACTGCAGACTTGGCCTCTGAGGTACAGAGTTTTCAAGCATTGTTTACACAAATTTTCTGCAAATATGTCAACTTGAAGGGAAAAAGTTATTTTAGCTAATCAAAAATCGCAAATTCAATATGTAAACACACTGTCCACATTTTAGAATACTAAGTATGAAAATGAGTAAATAACATTAACTGTCAGATAGTTGTTGTTTGTGACTATAATTTATTATTATTTTTATTCTCTACAAAAAAATGACGAAGCCTAAACTGTAAGGCGTAGAGACATGAAACTTGGTGAGATGGTGCTACTGATGCTTGTTACTCAGTGGCTGATAGGGAGTGCTACGAAAAAAAAATTGTTGTGGACTGTACTGTATTTGTGTCAGGGCTTGAAAATGAAATATAATTAAATCGGTTCACTCCGAGCAGAATCGATATTTTAACGTTTCTGTTCCTGCGTTCCTCTGTATTTTTACTGTTCCGAAACCAGTTCGAGAAGAAGAAATACCAGTTAATAACGTTATTTCTTTTAAACAATTTTCTATATCAGCACAGTGAGGCGGTGGTCACGCTGAATGCAACAGATTGTACAACGGAGCTATATGTTATATGTTATATGTTACTTTTTATGTAAGCCTATCTGTTTTCGCCGTTCACAGAAGCACTGCAGGTGCGTGTGATCTGTTGAATCCATCTTACACTATCCTCGGATAAACTCTAACGCCATTGCCATTGCGACTTACCTATGATGAGTTCACAGCTGTGCGCGGGCGGGCATTTCACTCCCTGGATGCGTCAGCTCACATTTGCAGGCCGTAGCCTACTACTTGAATTCCTGATTGGTTGACAGCAAATTTCAAATATTAAATGGAATGATAAAATAACGTTATTAACCGGTTAATGGCCATTTCAAATTTTCGATTCTGTTCGGAACTATAAAATTTGATTTAGTTTCTGTTTCTGGTTCTGTTCCTGTCAAAATTTTGTTCGTTTCCGGTTCAGAGCCCTGATTTGTGTTGTAGGTGGGAAAGGCAGACATATTGGTGACTGGGATTGGTAAACCAGAGATGGTTCGTGGAGAGTGGCTGAAGGATGGTGCCATTGTCATTGACTGTGGTATTAACACCATCACAGGTATGTAGGTTGTAACAGATGCACTTTAAATGTAGTTTTTCAGTAGGAGTATATACCATGTTTTCAACTTAATTTACAAAGATATTATTTTTTCGGTTAGATGTTTCCTGCTTTTCCTGCAATTGGTCTTAATCTGATTAGTGATGTCAGGTTTCAGGAATATTAAGGAATGAATATTAATATTAATTTTCTTAAAAATGGAAACATAATTTATGCAAGCACAGATTGAACTTAATTGATCTCATGTCTGTCTGGTGGAAACAAACCTCAATATTCAAGGGGCCAATAGAGTTACATCTAGATATCTCTGACGTTACACCAGACAATTTGTTATTCAGGCAAGTTGCTGTGAACGTGGAATAAACACAATGTGCTTAAGCTAACAAGAGACAAAAACAATTATAGTCTTTCAAGATTTGCTGCACAATCAATTATGATCGTTCAAGATTCGCTACTGTTCGGACACTCTTACTCAATGCCCCGCGCTTTCCCATAATTTCTTTTGTATTTTATCTAAACATTTTAATTCCATCAAATCAGCATAGTGCTTAAACAACAAAGCTTGGCACCAAAGCTAAAACTAGAAATGTCAAGACTGGAATACTACTACAAAAAGGAACATTTTTGTCTAACAAGACTCCCACTGCCAGCAGTTTACATTCCTGAGACAGGAAAACAGTAGTAATGTTAACACTTTAATAAAGGGACCAATTCTCACTATTAACTAGTTGCTTATTAGCATGCATATTACTAGTATATTGGCTATTTATTAGTACTTATAAAGCACACATTCTGCATCCTACCCAATACCTAAATGTAATAACTACCTTACTAAACAGTGATTAGGAGTTTGAGGCAAAAGTTGTAGTTAATAGTTAATTAATAGCTAGAATTGAACCTTAAAATAAAGTGTGACCGTAGTAATAATAAGTACTAATAAACCGCCAATATTCCAGTAATATGCATGCTAATAAGCAACTAGTAAATAGTGAGAATTGGTCCTTAAACTAAAGTGTTACCCTATTTTCTTGTTAAATAACGTTTCTGTAAATCACTTTAAGTTACCACTGTGTATGAAATGTGCTATGTAAATAAACTTGCCTTGCCTTGGCATGTCATGTCTTTATTGAGCACATCTCATTAAACATTCACAGTGTTGTCATTACCTGTCTGGATGATCCACAACTGTTTTATCATTTTGTGATGAGTTTAATGATTAAGTTATTCATCAGTCCCTTGTTTGTCTTGAGCAGTTAATCTGTTCACTGTTCTTTAGAGAAATCCTCTAGGTCCAGCACATTCTTTGGTTTCCCAGCATGTTCTTCATATTTTGAAACCTTTAAAACAGATGTTTTATGGAATATGTTCAATAAAGACATGAAGTATTATAAGTCGTATAGATTTCAGACTTAGAAGGATTGTCTGAAATGTGCATTAGTAACTCGGGTGAACCTGTAAAATCCATGGTCCAGAAACATAGTCATTCAGTCACTTAAATTTTATCTCAGACAGCAGCAGGCCAAGTGGGAAGAGAATTGTTGGAGACGTTCACTATGACTCTGCTAAAGATAAGGCTGCATTTATTACACCTGTACCTGGAGGAGTCGGTCCAATGACTGTAGCCATGCTCATGCAGGTACATTATTCCTGTTTATAATGGAAGTGACACTTGTTATTGTTGTTTTTTTTTGTAATGTTTACTTTTTATACTTTATTCATTTTTTCCCCCTTTAATTTACATTTTACTCTGTACCTAGCATGTCTTAGCCAGCACATATATTTATATTTACTAAACTAAATTCTGATGAAGGCCAGAGGAAATTGACTTACCCTAAAATGTTTCTCAACATCAGCATTTGAAATTAAGGAAAATGTGTGGAAAAGTCTTGATAAATGGATTATGACATGCATTTATTGTGAAAATAATTATTTTTAGTTTTATTAATACAGTACATGCATACAGTACAGGAAAATACCTCTAAACATAAAGATATATTTCTACTTCTAAATTACCATTAAAATGCATGGAAAGATGACAAAATCAAAATATACTTACGTAAATACTTATTCGCATCATGGGTTTCAAAAATAAGTATAGACCATTCACCAAACATTCTAAGATTGTAGTGTTGAAGATGTCCTCAACTACTTTTTAGTAGACGATGCGCAAAACTCCGCATTTGAACAGTCAATATCAAATACAAATCTTTTTTTTTTTTTTTTTGTAGCTATGCAAAAGACAAAAACCAAAAATTGTAACATCAGCCAATGTGGGTCAGTGAGTGTGATGACATCTGATGATAGTTTACAGTCACCATGCACTGTCAAGCTCAAAAAAAAATAAAATAAATAAGTGTTCTAAAACCATATAATGGCTCCTCAGACAAATCAGTTGCATGGCCTCAGAAGACTTAGAGTACATAAGTTGTATGCACTACTTTATGATGATTTTTGCCATGGATTTTCAGTTATGAACAATTCATTGAAGTAAACAGCTGTTTCAATAGTATCATTTTTGTTCTTGCCATTGTAATAGCTTGTTTGTTCATTTTTCGTTATGCAGTGATGTCACTATCTCTCGGTCCTGTGTACCTAAACCCATTGAATGTCTTGCTGAGGAAGTTGGTCTTTTCTCGGATGAGGTTGAGCTCTATGGCAGGACCAAAGCCAAAGTCCAACTGAAAACGATTGATCGACTGCAGGCTCAACCTGATGGCAAATATGTGGTTGTTACTGGGTATTTTTTCCCCTCCTTGTATCTCTTTTTCTGTCTCCATCAAGTGTTCTATTTCATATAGATGAAAAAGAAATGAACACCTTGTAAGTCATTGATACTTGTGCTAAGAAGTAACATTTTGTTTAATGTAGAATCACTCCGACTCCTCTGGGTGAAGGAAAGAGTACAACTACAATAGGGTTGGTTCAAGCACTTGGGGCTCATCTGAACCTTAATGCATTTGCATGTGTGCGCCAACCATCACAAGGTCCAACATTTGGCATCAAAGGTGAGTAATGCTGATAAGACAATAGTAATACCATATATGATTGGTTACCTCTAAAGTGATGTTTTATCAAACAATGTGCAAAAAGGTTTGGTATATCAAGTTTTGTTTACTAAACTTTTGCAAAGGAAGTACAATTGTGATCTTTTTTTCTCTTTTTTTGTGTGTCAATTTTCATAGCAGTGAGAGCAACTACAGAAAATTAAGCTACTACCTTATCTCTTATATCTATAGGTGGTGCTGCTGGTGGGGGATACTCGCAAGTTATTCCCATGGAAGAGGTATTCTTTTTGCATCAGATTCTTGTTTGATTAATTAAGCTGTATAAAAACATGTATTTAGTGATTGTCTTCTCTTCTCAGTTCAATCTTCATCTGACTGGTGACATTCATGCCATCACAGCAGCCAATAACCTGGTAGCTGCTGCAATTGATGCTCGTATGTTCCATGAAGCCACCCAGTCTGATAAGGTATTGTCTGTCTTCATTCATTTATTGGATCACTGATATCGCATTCTGATGTGATCAGGGATGAAATTTTGTTCAAAGATTATTAAGGCTGTCAGTTAATTAGCATATAATTAATTAGACAAAAATTAACTAATCAAATAATTATATATATATATATATATATATATATATTTACAGATAAAACTCAAATGCTCTGAAAAAAAGAAATCAATAATATTACATTTTGCATAGTCAATGCATAGTCAGTATGCTGCAAAAGATAATATTCCTAATGAGTGTTTTTGCCTAATTTTGAAACATGATACATTTACTTTAGATACTGGATATGATGGTTAGTTTTCAGAGAATGTCTTTAATACTATTAAAATATTATTATACTAATAAATCACTGATTCTTGAGAAGTGGGACAAAACAGGGTGCAAAATTGAAAAAAATAAAACCTCGTACTCAGACAAATGAAACTACATTTTATGTATCTTATATGTACTAAGCTACTGATCTATGCTTTGATGCAACCTCCCAACTTTTCTCTCTTTTTTTTTTGTATCAAAATGCTTTTTACCTCGAACTGTGTAATATAATTTTAACTTTATCTTTAACAGCAATCAAGATGCTTTTAACATTTCAAAACATATTGGAACACAAATGATCTATTTTCTCTCATCTCAGAACAGTATGTCTGCTTTGCATCTGCTAAGGTAACTTAAAAACAGTTAAATGAACAAATAAAACAATTAGGTGTTGCCTCTATCCATTTATGTTTAACAGGATCTTAAAATTCAGATTTAAACATCTTAACAAATGATCCAAAAATGATCAGAACTCATATGATCTGAATACAAACAAACTGTATTATGTATAGATGTTTTATCTAGTGTTGTGTTCCCTCAGCCTTATGTTTCCTGAATCTTATGTTCCCTCAACCCTAACTCTGCTAGAAGTGATGACTATCAATCCACAAAAGCAATGTATGCTGTATTTTTACTATTTGTACATTATTAGAAAAATTAAACACTATTTTATATCTAATATAAATAAAAACTTGAAAACCACAAAAATATGATGACTTCACGTTGAATGTCAACTCCGCCATTGGCCTGTCACCACCGTTAGAATTTTTTTTTTCTGGTGGTGACATCTGACAATGTTGACAAATTTGGCATTTCTTTCACAAAACAAATGGAGTTCATGTAGTAGCCATTTAGTTTTTTCTGTTGATGCTAGATGCTAATAGAACCTGCTTCGGGAGAGTAAAATTATTTAAATATTTCAAATAATTTCCTCAGAGATTGGAAGATTATGTTGACATATCATGGTTGTGACACAGGAAATATTAACATTAGGATTTAAAATATTCTAAAACTATAAAACTTACCAGAGCCTGTCTGACATTGATGCACTCTGCAAAGGTGGAATGTGGCTAAGAGGTCATTTAGAGTGACAGCTGCCCCTGATTTTTTTTTTTTACATTTTAATGAATGTCTGACGGTGTTGACAAAAAGTGGGGACACAACTTTGAAACCTTATGAAAAATGCACGTGTCACTGAAAAACAACCTTGCTTTGATACGAGTTATTATTAAGTGTTGCTTTTGATAAAACTCTTTTACATCATTAAAAAACATTTTTTATCAATTTTATAGCATATGAATGATCGAACCCTTCTCTGTGGACACACTGTTTTAGATGTAGTGAGAAGACAAGTGTCATAGATTTTATATAATAATGATAAAATTAAATTGAAGGGGATAATTGTGTTAAATACATTCTATTATTAATCCCCCATAACATTTACAATTGAAAATATTTTCATTTTTAACCCTAACAGCAGTTACAATTGCTGGACATGTTTTGTCCCATGTCTCAAGAATCAGTGAAATGACTTTAATATTTTGCCTTACTGCCACAGCAGAACAAGTTGGAGACTTGAAACTTGCTTTCTTTTTTTTTTCTGGAAACCAAATAATAAAAATACAGCTGAAAAACTCCAAATCAATTTTTTCAGTGTGTGAGTTTGATTTAATATTTTTCTTTTAATGATTTTGAATAAGGTAGAAAAACAATACAACAACACTTTTTTTTCCCAATCTGTGTTTACGAAACCAGGCTGTTGTTGCACATACAGAATGACACCTGGCATGTTGGCTTTTACACCTGTTGTGCTTAGACCCAGAGAACTCGGTAGCATCTCTGCATAGAATTGATGTATGGCTTCTCCCTGCTTAAGAGATTCCAGTTGCATTTCTTCATGAAGCATCAGATTGTGTTATGCGACAATGGTTTTAGAAAATATGGCTATATTTACCACAGTAGCATGATGGTTTCTCATGCACTGCCATCTGAGAGCTTGAAGGTTTATACACATTGAATAGAGGTTTCCTTACTCTATACAGGCTAAGATTTCTCCAGATTCCCTGAATATCACATTATTATGTACAGTAGATGAAAGAAAGCTAAAAGAAATGTTATTTTTTGAATGGTTTGAATGATACTTCGGTGGATTTTTTTGTGATACCCTCATCTATCATCAGTTCACCAGTTGCTTATTGTGGAATGTTTCAAAACGGTTTAACTGGGATATTCCATAATCTTTTCACTTATATTTTGCCTCTTTTTTGGAGTGTTGTACAGTAGCAATCAACATTTGTTTTTCAGTGAAAACATTGGAAATCATTTTCTTTGTAGTTTTGTCAGTTCAAAAGTGGTTAAAGAGAATTAACATATCGTCAGTCAAGACACCTTTATTTATATAGCGCTTTTAACAATACAGATTGTGTCAAAGCAACTGTACAGCATTAATTAGGAAAATAGTGTGTCAATAATGCAAAACGACAATAGTAAAAACTCAATTTTCAGTTAAAGGCAGTTCATCATTGAATTCAGTGATGTCATCATCCAGCTCAGTTCAGTTTAAATAGTATCTGTGCAATCAAGTCGACGATATCGCTGGAAAAACCGATGGAGTTTTGGTTCCTTGCCGCTGTCGCCTCTGGCTTGCTTAGTTGGGGAAGTGTCCCCAA